AAATATATACGGCTTCCACGAAAACAAGAGTAAATTTGAATTCGATAAAAACTTTCGAAATGGGTTCCTAAAAACTTCGTAACTGCTACTTAGTAGTTTATGAACATATTTGCAAGCCTTACACATATAAAATTGCACCATTTACTATAAAATCTGCGTTGAATCGACCAAATACAAGAGAACCACAAAAGAAAGTCAACTTCGTTCAATTCAATAAATTTCAACATCATTTAAATTAGGGTCTAGTTAAACTTAAATTCGGTCTAGTGACTCGATCGCTTCACCATTGGCAGCTATTTTACACTTTTTTTGTGGTTGATTGTACATGGTCTGCAGAGGTATATGAAGCAGTTCCACAATTTGTATAAAATTAGGCTCTGTAACAAAAAAAATATGCCAAATTTACGATATATTAGTATCATAACCATGTATTCAGTGCATGCTCGCGTGTAAGGTACTTACCGTTCTCCGCTGTGATGTATCCGTGTCTAATTAAAAAGTCAAGGGCAACTGGCACTGATGTCGTTTTGAAATGTGAAGACAATATCCTTTCTAAACATTCATTAACTGGAAGTAACTCGAAAGTCTCTACCTCGCCGTCATTGTTGCTTGGCACGAAATCGGGCGGTAGTTCAAGGTCATACACGAATTCCGTGTTTGGAAACAGACCCCTTTCACTTTCGAAAAAGAGTGATACACAACCAGCACTCTTCAACTTTGCAACAAGATTATTGGGAATGCTAGCTTCCTCTCCAGCTTCCTTTATAGCAGTTTCATTAATGCCATAACCAACACTTAACCCGCCGCTCACCATGTTATCCCAATATCCAGGCCAGGTCTGCTTATTTGGGCTCCGTTTTTGTAACCATATTGATAGACCTTTCACAGGATCCATAACATATCCATTAATGTCTACACCATATTTGCGAATTCCGAATAGACCTAGAAATCCAATGATCATGAGGATCACAGTTTTCAATATTTGCATTTGAGCATAGGGGATGATATACTTACATGTAGCAGACCGGTCCATTTTAAATAATGGTGGTGTATTGAACTGTGCACGTACTTCATAACACTCCTCCCTCCAACCCCGTAAAGTTACAAATTTTCCACCGGCCCGCCATTCCCTTAGGACCTCATCAACACGGGCACTTCTTTCTGCATAATCTCGAAATGCTGGATTTAATTGCACATATTCTGGGTGTACTTGAAATACCTTGAAAAAAAATGTAGATTATTGGAAAGGAGTGAACACTTCCGAGTGACCTTGAAGTACCAACTATAAAATTACCTGAGGGTAATTTAACAATTCCTTCATTACATCTGGGCGTACAAGACCAATTTGTTGTCCATCAACAACAAATGCCCTGCATTCACCTGCATGGAAACCTAAAACAAATAACAAATGCAGGAATCCAATTTCTGCAACACATATTCCAAGTAAGGAAAACAACTATAAATATACTTTTCCTTTTCTCACATACACTGCATATTCTGCATCCATTGCACTAACATTACAAAACATAAAATATAAATATACACAGAATACACAAAATAAAGCAGGTTTCAATGGGGAGAAATCAAGCAAGACCTAAGTATTTTTATTAACACATAAAATAATATATACAAAAGTAACATATATGCAGAAATATTCATAATCACTCCAAAAACATGATGTCCTTACATTTCACTTCAAATTACATAAAATCGCGATTATTATACAGATTATCGAATAAATGACACAACATAGATTTTCGACATCAACTTTTATAAATATATGTATACAATCAGCCCAACTCAAAATATTTATTGAGAAAAAAAGGGATGGACGGGGTGGATGGTGGGATAAAAGATGTACTCCGAACGAAGTTTCGCGAAACTCGTTCTATTTCTCGACAAAAAGCCGGCGGAATTCTTTTTATTTTGTTAATAACACCAGAAAGAATACACAACAGACTCCAAATCAATATCTCAGTAGACAGGTCGGAAAGCAACGCGTATCTATGCCTATTCACCTTAGAATTGAACAAGAGGGACCAACGAGGAGGCGGTGCGCACTTAAAACGAACGATTTGGCTTACCTGACAGGTAAAAGCAGTTGAATTTGTTGGCGAGCTTTAATAAGCGTGACATCGGTTTCTTATCACTATCCGTCATGATGTTTCGCTGTCGTTAGCCAGCTGTGACAAAAAATGCTGTCATAGAGCACAAGATATGTCAGACTCGAGCTTCAGGAGCTTTCTGCGTAACGATCTGCTGTAGATGAAACTGAAGTAGCTTAGTGATTGGTTAGTTACTTTCTGCTCATATTCGTTGAATTTCTTGCTGATAACGAGATAAGATATTCGAACTCGTTCTTCGCGTTGTTAGCGTAACGTACAATTTTTTATTTAGGCTCAAAAATATCGTTCTAACGATTTCGATTCACAGTAACACACAAGACACTAGGGGATGATTCTAAGGGTAATTACCGAAAAATCAATGGCGACAAGTACTGTAATTTGAGAGAAAAATGTACGTCCAAATAGAAGTAGATTACTTCGATTTAAGTAAATAAATATTGAGGACACCGTGGAATTTGCACTTTAGTTCCGTGTTTTGAATGCACTGAATAATAATGTGCATAAATTTGTTGTTTATCAGTTAAGTTAAACTGCGTATAATATGGTAGATTATTCCCAGTAGATGGGGTTCAGTGTGCAAGCCTATACTGTATATATTGTATTGGGTGATTCCCTAAAGTTATAGCGAAATGAAAGTGAAAAAAGCGATGAGGAAAGCTGCGAAAGCGACAGAATCATCCGATTCTGATTCAGAATACAACAGTTCAGACGAAGAAGTGAGTAATCTACTTAAATGAAAGTAGTCGTACGTAAAACTTAAGTTGCTCCTAACCTCACTTTTTTCACGTGTATAGTTACGGGAAGCTTTCGCGAAAGGTTTACTAAAACCCGGTCTCAATACAGTGGCAGAGGAGACAAATAAACAGTACAAAAATTGTGTAGTAAGTATGATAAGATAAGAATTAAGATTATAAGTGTCATGTTATTCCAGAGAGGAAAGTAACATGGTGTTTAAAATCTTTGCAGACTCTTATGAAACAGAAACTAGATGAAATTAAATTAACTTTGCCATGGGTAGAAAGATTAGACATGATAAATGTACCAGCACCTTTAGCGCCTGAATTAGCTCTGCAAATGCAGGAGCAGGAAGTGAGGCGCTCAAAGCAGTTGAAGGGAAATAAAAAGTTACCTCAGTATGATCCAGCGGATGATCCTGTTCTAAATGACTTTCGTAGAGAGACGATGTTCCATAGACAAGCCCAAGGTGCTGTTATGGATGGTATTATGCGATTGAAAAAGCTGGGAATACCAACAACTAGACCAGATGACTATTTTGCTGAAATGGCCAAGACCGATGCGCATATGCACAAGGTCAGAGAGAACCTCATGAAGAAACAAGTGATCACTCAGAGGACTGAGAAAGTCAGGCAAATGAGGCTGCAGAGGAAAGTGGCAAAACAGATGCAGGTGGAAGCAACTTTGAAGAAGCATGCTGAAAAGAGGAAATTAATGGAGGAAGTGAAAAAGTACCGTAAAGGCATCAGGCAGGATCTCGATTTTCTCGAGGACAAAAAGAAGCCTCAGCCGAGAAAAGTGGATCCGAAAATAGCGGCCAAACGAAAAATGAAGGACTCCAGGTATGGTTTCGGTGGTAAGAAACGAGGTAACAAAAAAAATACGAGAACTAGCTCCATGGACGTTTCGGAATACAAGAGGCCGTCGAAACCGGGGAAAGATTTGAAAAAGAAAGGGGGAAACGTGAACAAAAGATTGGGCAAAAGCAGAAGGACTCAGATGAAAGCGAAAAAACGAAGACAACAAAAGTAATTTAGGAGACTCACGTTATTGTCTACAATTGACTCAAGCGCCCAAGCATTTGTACAGAAATTATTTGTCTAATAAATGAATATTTCCGTTATTACCTTTTTCACCGAAATATTTCGTCGATCCCGTTCGCGTGACGTTGAAAACGAACAATTGCAAAACCAACAAAACAATTTTATCGCGTGACTGCATTCAAGTTCATGAAAAAATAAAACGTACGAGTGTTCCTACGCCTATGGCAGAGAATTTATCATCAAAAGTGCAATCAGTTAACTTACAAAATAGGTACAAATATATTTCATATTATTAAGTATTAAACGTTTATTGCATAAGAGACTTCGTAAAATTTCTTTCAATTCTTTTAATTTGAACATCTCTGGGTTCATCGTCCGTTCGCGATACGTTTTAAAATTTAAAACGTCGAAGGAATGCCCTAATTCCAACGCAGTCACTTCTCAACGAAATTCAAATTCCACTTCTAATTATTTTCGGCTGTAAGAGACTTCAAAAAGAACGGTAATAAAGGACGATACTGTGGAGGTCCTACGTTCTTTTGGACGTATGGTCATTACTGACGCACGAATTCTAAATTAAATTTGTGTATTTGTACAGATACGACTAGCAGACCCTTCGAATCTCAAGAAACGCATTGTTACACTTTTTATAAAAAATTGGAAATAAGTCACTCTGATTGCTCGGTAGTTTTAGTGTTAAGTTATTCAGTTATTCAGTTCTCAGCCGGAGAATACATACATACATGCATACATACAAGTGAACTCGGCAGCGATAGTTTTACAATTGCATGGAAAAATGGCGAATTCGACGCTAAGATATTCTTCGAATCAATATTTCAGTTATTTATAATTTCCGTAGACAATTTTACGAATAGACAACATGCTAATTACTCCAGTTCCTTCGTACCGCCGATATTGCTGGAAGGGTTACTTAACACGTGTCGTCCATTAGATAATCCTCCATGCCTACACGGCTGTTACATGCATAGAAACGCGATTACAACGCACATTACATGCATAATCACGCCTGCATCCCCGCAGAGGTACATACAGACGTAGCTCCTTTTCCTTTGGCGACAGGTGATAATTCCGCGGTGCTAACGATGACTCGGCCCTTTCTCCCTCGTTATAACAACCCTCGAGACAAATGTGCTTCTACCGACACGAGGGATGGAACAAAACCTAATAGTACCTAATTTCAAAAGAATTACATAGAAACTATAAAAATTCCTAAATTCATAGAAAAACGTCATAAAAAAGAGATATACAAGCGCATCCCGCTGAAAGGGATGATAGATCGAAAATACAAGTGCTAGGAAACCTAGAGCAGAAACTGAATCATAATGGTTTTAAAAGTAGTTTTCTCGGAAAGAACTTATCTCTGCTACAATCAGATAGATTCTGTAAGTAAAAAGAAGTTCGTAAAAGTAGTTCCGTGTAAAAATTTATTAGCTGGAGATAAAATAAGATCTATAAACGTGTGCACTCCTGTAGTTTCTCATCTTCAAAGTCGTTTCGACGATTGTGTGGAATGAAGGACAACTCGATGTTGGGTAATTCGATTTTCCTTATCGTCCGAACATCGAGAAATACTGGACAATTTTTTAGACACGCTATACACGGTGTATCTTTCGGGCGCGTAGTGGTGGCGATTGATCACCGTAGACATCTCGAATGGACGGTGATCAGAATATGGTTGGAGCACGCGTGATTGGGTTTCGAATGTATACCCGTTATTTGGCGAGTGGAAATACCACTGATCGAATTGCATGTATGATGCCTGCCGCCCATTCGTGTGCGGCCGCGCGCACGTGGGCGTGTATATTTTTTACAATAGCCCCGGGTTATTGTATTTAAATCCAGGAGTGCTCTCGCATTGTCCTCCGTTCTGTCTGACGCGGACACGAGAGCCCTGGGAATCTGCTCTCCAGGTAACAGCTGTTTTAGAGGGAACCGTGGACGCGTTTTCCACATTTTTATCCGGCACGGATCCGGCAATTACGTGACCGACAGGAATCGGCGCGTCTCCGGGTGCGTATGTTTCCGTCGGTTCATGTTTCTTACTCGTTTCCGGGGAATAATGATTATTATTTGTAGAATTAGCGTGTTATTATAAAATAAGTCGTCGAGTAAGAAGTATTATTAACACTGAAACTATTGGACCCTTTCAAATGACACATTTCTGATTTCTTCTTGCAATTATTAACCGTTTGCACTCGAAAGATTTTTACTAGAAATATTTAACAGTTCTTGATGAGATTCAGACATATTTTGAATATAACTTAACGGGATAGTGTACATAGATTAAGGAGAACAGTGTTTTTATTCAATATTCCACATATTGAAGTTTAACATTGAATATTAAATTTTATAATTTTGTGCTGAATTAGGTGGTCACTAGAACTGGCTATTGAAGTACGAAGGGTTAAAATGGTAACGGATGTTTCTCTGAGAAATCATTAGAGAAATAAGAAAATAAGAAAACATATTAATCCCTCGTTCGAACAATTAAATTATTCATTTACGTCTTTCAATTTTAAATATCAAAGTTCGGAGATCGATCAAGGTTAATATTCCATGAAATTAATGTATCGCATATTCCACGAGCAAAAATGATCAAACTAATCGAGTATTCTATCTTCTTATCTCTAATTTTAATTTTGATTTTCTCCAGTGAGCCGATTAAAGAAATTTTTAGCACGCTAGGTAAACTTCTAGCGAAGTTTCTTAAAAAAACTGTCTACTTATCATTAAAAAGAATTTACACCGTTCTCTGGTAGTTAGTTGGACCTTAATAGGTCCTTTCCCCAGTAAACGGTGGTTAAAAAGTTTCCGATCCCGGAAGGGTTGTCCGTTTCTCGTTATCCGAATATGGAAAGACAATCGCGCCGCGCGGGGCAACCCCGTTCACACAATTATTGATCAACCGGAATTAGTTGGTATCGCCGGTGAAGTTTGACAATGGCGACCTTTGCCGAGGCTGGCAAATTCGGCTGGCACTGTTTCGAACGTTAGCGCGACCTGGTAGCGCCATGTTTGCAGTCAGAATACGTACAGTCTGTTTAGCAAGAGATTGTGCGGTGTAGTTTTTACTTGGACGCAGTTCAAATTCTGAAGAAATTAAATTCCTCAACTCTTTTTTTACATATATTTGTATTAATATTACAAAATTTTCTAATCGGATACAGACGATAGTTTCCGAAGCTAACTTGACGAGAAATCGCACATAAATCGAGGAACAAAGCTATTTTATTTCAATATTTCACATAGTGACGTGTTACACAAAGTTTAATAGTAAATGTCATACTTCACAATGTTGCTGTATTGTTAATATTCTCCGATCTTGTTTTACAATTACTTCGTAGCTTCTGAACATACTGCTCACTAATCTGGCGAGATATATCATCAAAAGAATTATATTGTCTCAATTTTAATCAATATTTTCGAGTACCAAAGGGGTAGTTTTTCCACTGCAACCCTTCACAAAGTAAATCTATGCTCTTTCTTCAATTTACATCCATTTATCCTCATCTACTTTTCTATGTTGCACTATCTTCTCAAATAAACAATACTTAAAAACAATCACTCCTTTAAATATTAAATTAACTAAACTACAACACAATTAACAGAAACTTCTTTCAAAACCTATTAATTCATCATACACAAACTCATGGAGAAACAACGAACTAATCATTCAAATCACATCAAACAATCCTAATAATATTTCTTGAAAGATTAACAATCTCAATAATTTCAAACGAACCGATCCCAAAAATGGTACTTATTCGTCTACAACTTCTAATCTAGAAAAGACGATTCTTTCTTCACGAAAATCAGAGAATCACTGAAAAGAAATGATTACATGATTCGTAGGGGAATGCCACAAGATTTTCTCATGGTCCAAGTGGACATTTTTCCGCTCTTACTCGCCAGACTGTACGTACACGCGAGCTTGCATCCCGTCAAGCAAATTGGAGCTTTTTCTACGTGTTGCCGGGCTCCGCATAGTGAAACCAGCCCGGCAGTATCATGGACAGATATCGCGCGCAGATATCTGTATTGATGACAACCGCGGTGTGACATGTATCTTGCGCCGGTTGCTAATGGGTGAAATTTGTTTCGCTATTGCCTACAGGCGATCCCCGCCGATTTCCAGTTTCACAAAACTCCCTGCGCCTGCCCCCTGCACAGGTCGGACGACGCGCTCGTGGAAACCCGACACGACAACAATGCAGCATCCATCTCAATTATTTAGACCGGATAAAATGGATCGGAGAACTCTTACTGCTACGATGCAGCATAGGACTGGATGGGATGGACTTGGGTAAGTCATGATAATCTGATAATTTTTGAGTTCTTTTCGTAGGTAATGATATTTCCGGTGTGGACATTGGCAGTGATACGTATTGGATTAATATTGTAGTGGATATTGCAATTATGCAGCTTGCTGGTTGTGTGCGTTGATGGTAGGTTAAATTTGATTGGCATTAGAGTAAGTTGGTGGTTTTAGGATTTTAATGAATTTGTAATATTTGTTTTTGGTATAGTGTTCAGTGTTTAATGTAGTGTGTTTGTTTTATTAGAATTAATACAAGGAAATATAATTAAGTTTTTACCTTAGGATAAGTTAGTGATAAGTTTAGAATTGTACTACTGAATATAAATATTTGTCTGTAGAATAGAATATTATATTTAGTGTAATTATCCCATTAGGATTAATGAATAGTACAATCAAACTAGGTCTTAAGTTCAAAATTAATCCTGTTCGTTTTCTATTTATATAAATTAGGCTTAGCAATTTGTAGGTGGGAGAAAAAGGATTGTATTAATCAACTAAGATTAACGAATAGATGTTAATTCTGTAAGTAAGTACAACATGGTGGTTATACTATATTACTAGGAGGACATGTTATATTTAGCAACAGAAGAGTTAGTTTTCATTGTCTTCCAGCAGATAAGCGTAACATCGCACAATAGGTTGGTTACAATGCATAACAGTCGCAGACAAACTTCCTCCTTCTAGAATAGGGAAAGAAAGATGATAAACATCTCACGTCGTTTAATGTAGATCTAGGTTCAA